CACACAAATATCGATATTTAACCTAGTGTGTCATGAATACCTAGTGCGACCTAGTGAATAACCGAATGAAGTGGAGGTTTGAAAATTTGCAGACTTGTGATGTTTGATGCCAGCTTTTTAACGAAAGTATTTTCAGGTTCCGGGTACTTGTGGTTACACCGGAAGAGGTGACAATTTTCATATGTTAAATGGAACACCCTGAGTTTTATAACATTTCTCAATAAAAAATATCAACTAAAATGTTATTTTTTATAATTTATAAATCATTTACTTTGACCGCCGGACAAAAAATTTTGTGTTGGGAATGTTGTTGTGGTTATGTATTATCAGAGGATCAGTAAGGAAAGAGTAAATAGTGTAACATTTGCTGAAGCTATGGTTTATTTCTGTTGGTGTGATGACTAAGTTACTTTTTGTAGTGATCTGTTCTCAACAAATCCCACGTTTGGAATTTAGTAATGAGGATTATTTGAATTTGATAATAATTTATGGAGAGTGCAACCAAATAATTGCGCGTACGTGTCGGCTGTAACATACATGAATACCTACATGGCACACTAGGTTAAATATAGATATGATATGTGTGCATTTTTCAAAAAACCCTAATTATCGCCCAAACTATAAATGTTAGGTATAGGACATATGTGATATAAAAGATGTAAAATGAGACACCGAAGACGACTAAGTAATAAAATATGGGGGGTGCCATTTAAAAAAATGAAGTTATGGTATTTCCAAATTTCGAAAAGTTAACGTGCCGTAGTAAACTGACCAAACGATCTAGACAGCCGTACTCGGCACCAAAACATACTCCATCATGTTGCTTACGCATGTTCTGAATCCTAAATTGATATCCCAAAAATCGATTCTCTGATTTTTTTAACAAATGTCTGCTGGAGCAGATTTTTCTAGAAAAATACGAATAACTCGAGAACGGCCGAATCAAATTGCAAAAAGTAAAGTTATTCATAAACCTTGAAAACAGACAAATCCAAATATGTAAAAATATATAGGGTGTTCCATTTAAAAAAATAAAGTAGGTGGCGACTTCCGGTATAACCGGAAGTGCTAGAAATCTGAAAATATTTTAGTCGAAGAGAACGTAATTAATAATACTTAAATCTGAACTTTCAAATTTTTGTATTGACCAGAACCCTGTAAAGTTCTAATGGACGGTCGTCGTGGATGACCCTGATAGAAAGGAACATCATTTGATTTTTGAGTTTCAGATTATTTCAGGGATAGATATTGTATTAACCAGCAACTTAGACAATCCACGCACCAACTTGGTTGAGGGACAATGTAAAGATTATTTTCTATAAACAATTCTTTTTAAATAAGTAAATATATCATGAAAACATATGCAAAAGATTAAATTAAAATACCACATAATTTGGTAGCAAAAAATTCCCAATGAAATCATTTTAATTGATACAAAAAAAAGAGACTCCCCCATTAAAAAGATTGAATTAGATTATACTAGTATTATTTGGAGTGGTTTACACTCAATTACATGTTTTGACAATGTTGATAATTAAACCTTTATAATTTTTCAAGCACAAAATGCAAAAATTTATTGAATAGTACCGTTTTACAAGCACAAATCCAGTGAGTAGCATCGAAACGGTTTTTATCTGGAAAAATTACACCGTTCAAATGGGGATTTTTCCCGATATGTTTTGGTCAATTCATAAAATTGAAAACGACTTACCGAATAGATGTTGTTTCCCTTGGATTTTACTTCGAAGCTCAGCTGGAAAGAAAAGATAAATTAATTTATTGTGACAAAAAAAAAAAGAATTAATACGATACCTTCACATCCTTCAACATCCATAAAATGGGAATCCCATGATGTCCTATATCACATCACTAATATCACCTAACACTTAGCATAAATATAGTACGCATTTGTCACTTAATTTAAGTAATAAGTTTTATTTTTCTAAACTACTTTATCACCCTTAAATGCCCGCATATCAACTAAAATGCGTTATTAGCGAATCAACTTCCAAACATCCCCTCCTTAATTTATTGTGGGAAGAAGGAATACTGGAGGTGAATAAACAAAAAATGTAAAGACGACGGGCCGAAGCGGTTTTAAATCGTTTTTTGGTTTTAAAACTCAACCTTTCAATAAANTTGTGACTGGCAGCCATTTTGGTAAACCGAGCAACATCACCCGCAATCCTAAGTTGGGCCACAGGAGCATCATCCTGTCTGAAAGAATAATATATCTGAGAATCATCGGCATAAAAATGAGCTTTAGAATATTTGAGACAATTTTGGAGACCAGAAGTATAAATGCTAAATAAGAGCGGACCCAATACAGAACCTTGTGGTACACCGGCCATTAATCCACGGGCAGCCGAGACGATCATGCCACAGGAAACGACCTGTCTTCGATCAGAAAGAAAATTCAATATTAAGGCAGCAGCATTAGTACAAAACCCAATGTACTTTAGAATAGAATCCAAAACTGTATAATTCACCGTATCAAATGCTTTCGAAAAGTCGAAAAGAATTAAAGCCGTAACCATGTCATCATCAGCTGCCCGCAGTATATCATCAGTTATATGCATCAATGCTGTACCACATCCATGATTTTTACGAAACCCAGACTGTGTCGTCGGCAAAACACTGCAACCCTCAACAAAAAATCTCATCTGAAAGGCCATGATTTTTTCCAAAATCTTAGACAAAACAGGCAAAATACTAATCGGCCTAAGGTCACCACACGAAGTAGGATTGGCTATCTTAGGCAGTGGGATCACTTTAGCAGTTTTCCAAGCGTCTGGAAAAACTGAGTTAGCTAAACAGTAGTTTATAATATGTGTTACAAAAGGTAGAATATGGGGACAGCAAAGATGCAACATTAAGGATGAAACACCATCAAAACCAACCGAGCCTGATTTTAACTTCAAAAGTAGTGAACCGACAATGTATTCATCTACCGTTTCAAATAGGAAATTATTAGTAGGATTTAATTTAGAATTATTATAGAAGTCAACAACATCCTGATCAACAACCCCTCCCAATTCAGAAGATCTAGCGAAATAATCATTTATCTCATCTGCATTACCTAAACTCCCGGGCAATGGTTGGCGCCTCTGTCTGGCGACACCCCAATCACGAAGGACCCGCCATAGCTTAGCAGAACTACGCTGAGCCACCACCGAACCAAAGTATGCCTCTTTCTCTCTTCTTATCGCTCCTTCCACGTACCGCCTCAAATCTTTGTAACTATACAGATCATTAATATTCTTAGAGTGCTTATATTTAGAGTAAGCCCTATCCCTCAAACACATCATTTGTTTTAACTGCGGCGTAAGCCAAGGACTACGTCTTTTAGAAAATCGTCTATTCCTTAGTGGAGCATATTTATCGAAAATTGAAATAATAAGATTATTAAAAAAATTAACTTTGATATTAACGTCATCCAGTTCATAAATTAAAGAGAACGGCAACGACTCCAGTTCAGCAGTAAAATCAACAAGATTGATAGAATTAAAATCCCGGTAAGCCCTAAAAACTGGTTCAGTAACAATAGGTGCGACTGTCAAGCTACATCTAATCAATTCATGATCAGTTAGACCATGCAAACTGTCCAGTGAAGTAAACGCAAAATCGACACAAGAAGAAACAACAACATCTATCAAGGTTTCCGAGGAAGAAGTAATACGAGTAGGCTCGTTCACCAGTTGCAACAACCCATATGCGTCCAGAAGATTAAAAAATTTAGAAACATACGTCCACTTTGTACAAAATGTGCTGAACATCTACTATTTGGGTGATGTGTCCTGACCTGCAAGGACAACAATGTGATATCAACACAATAGGTGACCTTCACATTTTGCAGTTATTGCACGTAGGGTAATTGACCAGCATTATTCCATGCGTTGATTGGTCGTGGGGTCCAGTAGAATGGCCATCTCGATCAACACATTTAACTCCACTGAACTTTCTCCTGTGGAGCCGAATTAAAGAAATAGTCTATATGGAACCGCCTACAACAAGGGAGAATATGAAATCCGAATTCGTCGAGCATGCCACTCTATTAGCACTAACGAAATTTGTCATGCAGTTAATGCTGTAAGAAGGCGAGCAAGAAGGTGTGTGGCTGTTGATGGCAACGTTTTTGAACGTTAAAGTTTCTTTACGTTCGTTTTTGTTCTTAAAATTTTAAATAGGTGTTTAAAAAATCATTGTTATTGTTTNTCGTATTGGCCAAGGATTGAGCTTTCGAATGAGACATTGTTTATCGAAATCGGTTGACTGGTTCTCTTGTTATAATCAAAATACTATACATGTAAAATGCTATCTAATTGGGGGCTAGAAAAATTGGGGGCTAACTTCGCATAGGTACCTCGTAAACGTCTAAGATATATCCATTTATTATAACATACAATTTTCCCAAAACGTTTAAAAACAACTTAAGTATACAACTAAATTACCGTATGGGGATTAAAGTTTTACAACGTCATGTATTCTCAGCTCAGAATCTAACGTATTCTGAGTGCAGTTGCGGGATCTAAAGTTAGAAATTAGTTTAGAGTTAAATTAAATTAAGTTTAGAATTTAATTGAATAGAGTTTGTGTTGTGTTAGAGAACATTATAGAAAATTTGAAAACTTATCCCTAACCAAACAACAACGAATTAATTTTTTTTTTCTTTTAAGCATTATGTTTTGATGTTCTCATTATTTTATGTAGTGCGAAATTCACTTAGGAAAGAGATGAAGAGAAGTACAGGTCAGCGATTTCACCCGTTTTTCTGTAACATTGTAAAATCCTCTCGGGCGGAAGGACTTTTTAACAACGTGACAGTTATAAACGGAATTTACGGTTGCAAAATTTCATTTCACGAACGGCACGGTGAAAATGAAACTGGAATATAAAAGTCTCCGCTCCCGTATATACTCCACCCTGTACATATATACATTTATTTCGTTGCACTTTTACGCCGACCATCCAAAATTGAATTTTCGCACTTCTTCTTGCAGGTTGCGCCAAGCATATAGAGTTTGCTCCTCTTCGTTGGAAAGACATCACGCTTCCGGATGGTGCCGTTTTCGTTATAGCCCACAGTTTGGCTAAAATGAACAAAGCTGCGACTACTGATTTCAACTGTAGGGTCGTCGAGTGTAGGCTCGCTTCACAGGTTAGTAAAATTTGTAACTTACCATGACATTATAATTAAAATTTTAATCAACGAAACTCTATATTAAATACATTTTGCCTAATTCATAATTTTTCATTTTTGTACACACGGTTTTAATGAAAATTTCTTTTAGTTCTGTTATTTATTAAATATTCAAGCAGGTTGAAGCGAATGCGTTGTTATCATATAAAAAAACGAATAAAAACGAATGAGCTACAATTGTACAAACGAATTTCATAAATTATTTAAGTGAGTTATAGTCCAAGTACACGCGAACTGAATTATGCGTCTTTTCTATCTCGATTTTCATTTTAAAACAAAAATTAAATAAAAATATGTATGAACATAAAAAAATCCATTTTCTTGTATTCACCCCTCTGTTTAGGGTTGTCACACATTTTGAGTGGCATTTCACGATTTTCTTGGCACCCTATACAAAATGTCCTTCAATCCCTCTTTAAAGAAGTGTATCCTTCTCCCTCAAGACAAAAATAACACATGTATAGATTTTTATTTACATACTTTCGTACTTTCGTGTGCGTCATTTAAATTTGTTGTGTACAACAAACAATTTTAATACAACATTTTATGCTTATTTTTCATGTTAATTTAACTGATCCGTCACAATTAAAAAATTGTAAGTGTCTTGGTTATTAGTAATTTTATTTATCGGTTCTGTTCCTTTGAATCTATCAGGTCCACTTTTGTAACAAAACCTTGTGATGTGACGAATTGCATCCCATTTTTTGACGCAGCTCCCTTCAATGTGTACATTCTATATATCATCAACATCTCTTTGATGCAACGAGAAAACATCGACGAGATTTCCTACATCGTGACGCCACGGGGTTTTCTTACGACTGTGAATCTTTCTTACCCTTAATATTGTAACTAGCACTTTTGGGGAATATTTTAGAAGCTAATTAAGCAGTTTCCAGCATTTTTTGTGATACACTGTCGACTTAAGAGGGGCCGATACATTTACATATTAGATTTTTTTCATTAAGGTGTTTTTTTCACTGTTTCATTAATTAATTTCAAACATTTTCTTCATTCATTACTGTTTTCTAGTGCTGTATACTACACAAATATAGGTTACCTAAGATTACCTAAGAAGTTGCAATAAAAAATATATGATTATAAAATCGTATATGAAGAATCCAATGCACCAGTTTTTATCACGCTGGTAACACCGGAAGACCTGACATCAACTTAAAAATTTTCCAAGTTGTCATATGAATTAAATTTTATATCATATGAATTTAGCGGTGAATTTGAATCCACACGTTTATACACACCGGATTTCGATACACTTAACATTAAGCCAATCAACAGTATGGAGAATATTAAAGCAAAATCGTTTGCATCCATACCATCATAGTGTCCATCGGGCTCTTGGTGGACGAGATTTTGAAAGAAGGCTGGTTTTTTGTAATTGGATTTGGATCAAGACAACGATTTTCCTAGACGTGTTCTTTGGACCGATGAATCGCTTTTTAAAAGTAATGGAGAGGTAAATCTTCATAACACCCACAACTGGGCAAGGGAAAATCCGCACTGGGTGAGATATGTTGACAATCAACACTTATGGACCCTCAACACGTGGTGTGGTATTATAGGAGAGCAAATAATTGGTCCACATTTCTTTAATACGGCTCTAAATGTAGAAACATACGTCCACTTTGTACAAAATGTGCTGAACATCTACTATTTGGGCGATGTGTCCTTACTTGCAAGGACAAAAATGTGGTATCAACACGATGGGTGGCCTTCACATTTTGCAGTTATTGCACGTAGGGTAATTGACCAGTATTATTCCATGCGTTGGATTGGTCGTGGGGTCCAGTAGAATGGCCATCTCGATCACCAGATTTAACTCCACTGGACTTTCCCCTGTGGAGTCGAATTAAAGAAATAGTCTACATGGAACCGCCTACAACAAGGGAGAATATGAAATCCGAATTCGTCGAGCATGCCACTCTATTAGCGCTAACGAAATTTGTCATGCAGTTAATGCTGTAAGGAGGCGAGCAAGAAGGTGTGTGGCTATTGATGGCATCGTTTTTGAACGTTAAAGTTTCTTTACGTTTGTTTTTGTTCTTAAAATTTTAAATAGGTGTTTAAAAAATCATTGTTATTGTTTGTTCAGATTGTTATTTAATTAATTACTTCAGCATTTTTTATAATACATGTTTAGTTATCATCAATAGCACTTAAACGTTGTATTAAATCAAAGAAAAGTTAAAGCAAAAGTTGTTTATTTTTAAAATATCTATTCTACGATAAAACTTAATTCAAATGACAACTTTTAAAATTTTTAAGTTTATGTTATTGCCACCAACTTCCAGTGTTACCAGCGTGATAAAAACTGATGCATTGGATTCTTCGTATAAGATTTTATTATCATATTTTTTATTGCAACTTCTTAGGTAATCACGTTTTTGAGAAAAATTCCTGGTACGGGTGGTCTGAATCACCCGGTATATTCACAATTTCTAAAAGTTTTCAAAATGGCCCGCAAATAGCAATCGTCTTAGGTAAGGTTGTGGCGCGAGTTGCTTCGCTTTGAACTAGGTGAGTTCCTAGTTTCAATTAACGTCTTTTTATGGTTTTTGATACAATTTTAGAAACACAGGAATGATGGAAATGTCATGTGTTCACCGGATAATACTCCATATTTTTTTTTCTGGCCAGGCGACAATTACATTATTATAATTTCTGAATAGCCCATTTAGTTCTAAACCGTTTTTGTCTCTTATAAGATTTTGATTACATAAGTGGTTAAGCCAGAAAAAAGGTATTTTTAAATATCTGCAAGCCTTGTTTACGTCATTGCAGTTACAAAAGTTACCTTATCGTAGTTGGCAATGATTTCAACTAATTGCAANTTTACGTTCGTTTTTGTTCTTAAAATTTTAAATAGGTGTTTAAAAAATCATTGTTATTGTTTGTTCAGATTGTTATTTAATTAATTACTTCAGCATTTTTTATAATACATGTTTAGTTATCATCAATAGCACTTAAACGTTGCATTAAATCAAAGAAGAGTTAAAGCAAAAGTTGTTTATTTTTAAAATATCTATTCTACGATAAAACTTAATTCATATGACAACTTGGAAAATTTGTAAGTTGATGTTATTGCCACCAACTTCCAGTGTTACCAGCGTGATGAAAACTGGTGCATTGGATTCTTCGTATAAGATTTTATTATCATATTTTTTATTGCAACTTCTTAGGTAATCGCGTTTTTGAGAAAAATTCCTGCTACGGGTGGTCTGATTCACAATTTCTAAAAGTTTTCAAAATGGCCGGCAAATAGCAATTGTCTTAGGTAAGGTTGTGGCGCGAGTTGCTTCGCTTTGGACAGTATAGGATTCGTTGCAGTGGTTAGAATTACTTAAAAATACACTTAAATTGTTCCTAACATTCATATCTTCTATGTGAACCTAAAAAATTTGAAGAAAATTAATAATTAAAGGAAATACAATGTTTTTAAAAAGATGTTCTTATTTTGTAAGTAAATTTTGATGATTTATTCAACAACAAAGCATATTACTATTAGCATATTAGTAGCAATATTACTATTCGTTACATAAGAAAATGTTCGAGAAAAATTACTTTAAAGTTTTACTACCTCAAATTTGTTGACATGGTAAAAATATGGACATGGTTGAATCTCCGTTGAAACATTTCGTCGGCCAGACTTCGAGAAATGCTTCGAGAGATGCCCATGCTTTTTAAATTTAGTCACAGTTAGGCTCACTATACTTTGGCTAATGAGTTGGCGATCAGGATATGTGGTATTAAAGAGGTCAACTACTTACTAAATCAGTTTTTGACACTTAGGAAATTGTTTAAAATAATTGGTTACCATAGTTACTCATGGCTACTGCTATTTTTATCATTTATATAAATTTGAAATTTCGACTATTTTCCGCCGAATCGTAGAAGCTTTGGGGTCAATCGTCGAACCGTAGAGTTGAAGCTTTCGTTAGCATTCTGGCGGAGAATTCTTTTGGGAGGTCACACCCAAACATCTGACTAGCAAATTATCTTGAAATAGATTTTTATAAACTGCCGGTATATTATTCTTATATTTATTCTCTGTACTGTCTATATTAATGCGAATAGCCAGACCATAATATGTAGTCAGTTTTCTTATTAGAGCATCTGTCTATTCTCCTTTCCCTCCAAGCTTGTGTGTTTTTCTTATGTTTGAGAGTCGAGAGTTAAATCTTCCTTTAAATATTCTTGATAAAGAATGGAAGAAACAAAATTGCGGTTTGTTACAAATTAAAATTTTTTAAACGCCTTTTTTTTTAATTTTTACAGAAAAAAATAGTAAATTTTAATTGATTGAAATAATAGTATTTCCGGCTATAAAAAATCTATTACCTTGCTTTCACACTAATACCACAGATAATACTTGTTACCATACAGTAAACAGTGATGTTTCAATAATTTGTTGAGATGCTACAACTCGACTATACCAATCACGTTCTCGCAGCTCAGTAGTTAGGTTTCGCCGACATCAAAGAGTACTAAACTCACAAGGGAAGTATCAGAACTGTCCCTCACCGATTTTGTTGAAATTTGGTACAGCGATAGTATGACCAAAAATAAGGTTTACGTATTTTTTTATACGTGCTAATAAAGCCCCTGGGGAGAGTTATAAGGGTTGGAAATCGGGGTGAAATATACAGGATGTCTCCGAAATGCGTGTATAACGGAAGACCACAACTTCCTTGACTCAAAATAGGTCGATTTAAGTTAAGTTATCTATATCCAAAGTTGCTTCGTTTCGCCGCTAGAGGACTTCAAAATTAGCAAAAAAAATTCTTTTATTTTTTATAACTCGAAAACGCGTAATTGATTTACACGTTTTTTGACTTACATTTAATTGACGATTTCAAACATATGGTAAATATTTTTAAACAGCAAAGTTCATTTCATCAAATAGAATAAATCGCTGATTCGCAAGGAAAGATATGATATTTACG